CCTCAATTAGCTCACCAGCCAATTATGCTCCTGTATGTTAACAGCTAGGTACCTTAAATCCCTATTTCATCTGCTTATATGCCGGTGTGTGTTTGTTAATGATATATAAGTACCCAGATTCGCACTCACGAATTTTTAAAAATGTTCTGAAGTGATAACATACAAACATTGCATAATAGATTTAGGTTTATGTATATTTATATAATGAATTTATTGTCGCGTCAAATATTTCTATGGTTTTTGGTATTGTTTAACGTCACCTCGTCAAACCCTATACCTCGGTATCGAGAAGGAGATATTATTTGGATCGGAGGACTTAACTATACTTTAGGTCCTGATATACTTGATATACAAAAGAGATGCCCAACTTATAGCTATGTTGTCTCTCAAAATGCAACTATTGATAATTTCGTTAATGCTTATGTTGAAGAATGCCCTATCACAAAACATGAATATAATCATAATTATTCACCGGTGCATATTAACAAAACATTGTATGGTTTGATCGATGCCAATACCAAGACGGTATTGGCAGTGAATCTTGATATAGAACACTTGCATAGTTTATTAAATAAGAACGAAAATCACTTACTATGGAGAGATGAGGAAGAAGATTTGTTAATTGAAAGTACATTTATTACTCCGTTAAATCTGTCTACTGTTGACATTTACAAACCTCATCATCAGTTGATCAAGAGAGGTGTAGCTAATAATCCTTCATTGATTACTGAACTTACGATTGAACAGTTTAGCCAAAGTGATGAATTACAGAAAAGAACTAACTGGTCCGATATATCTAAATACGTCTTGTCCAGTTTTTTTAAGTATGTCTTTTATTATGTAGTAGGTGATGCAGTGTTGCGTTTTATCGAAATACATACAGAGAGTAGGGTTATCTCGAATATTGTCATTGCTTATGAGGCTATTGCCTGGCTCTCAGGAGCCGTCATAGGCAATTGTGCTCGATTATTTGTAAAAGTTTTTAAGAAAACAAGTGATTTGGTGGAAAACTATTTCGCTCTGTTAATCTAGCTTATTGGTGGATGTATACAGCTGTTATAAAATATTATAATTGATTATATTCTCCTTATATATATATTAATATATAATATTTCTCTTCGTACTTTTTATATTATATATAAAACAGAATAAACTTGTTTTTATTTTTTGATTTCATTGTTTGCATAATTTCCAGCCTGATTTTGTTTTATAGATAGATCCAGAATATGAAGAAAACTTGAAGTACTGTAAAACTAACTTGATTGTGGAAGAAGCTAAACTTAGGTTCTTACTATTATTAGAAAATATATGAGTTTCCAGTTTTAAATAAATTCTTAAAGTAGAAGGAACTACGATGTAGCACTAAACCCTGCAATTGGGCGCGGTCCGCCCAAACCCATATAGAAGGCTCTCTCTATGGTTTGTTTACTTTTCGAGGAGCCATGACGTCATGGCTTTCTTGAAATCAAAATAATATCATTACAGTGCGCGTTTTTGCCTGAAAAGCTACACTCAGAACATATGTCGCTAAGAAATTCGCGGGTAATAAAAAACTTCGATGCGTATATAAAAAGTTTCAATTTGGACCATTATCTGCCGCACTTGAAGATTACCCGTTTTTGCCATAGTAAAAGTGCGCACCCGTTGGGTGCAATGTCGGGTGCAATATCGTATTATTTTTTTAAAATAGTAAAACTATGAGAAAAAACAAGGAATTAGGCTATATTACTCCATC